GATGGATGAAGGCAGTGAGAATGAATCAGGGTGCCTCCCCCTTACTTTTTTTTGGGTTTATTTTCTTCCTCATTTCTTCTCCAACAGGCAAGAAAGGGAAGAGAGGAGAGATGAGGAGAGTGTGTAAATAGAAGAGTGACATATTTTCATGTTTACCTCTTCCTTGTTCTTCTCCTGTTATCCGACTCCTTCTTCTCCTGAAAGAACCGCACGTTAGTCAAAGGTTTGTTGTTTTCCTCTTGTTGTCTGTTCCTTTCTCGCTGAATGGGAAGATCAAAAGAACCAGGGGAACCGTCTTCGTCCTTGTATATACCTTCTTTTTTTCCTTAAACGAAGAACGGAAAAGTTGGAATGCAAGGGAGAGATTAAAGAAGGCAAAAGGAAGGGAACAGGGGAACTCATCCCTGCCCTAGGGGGAGAGTGGGCCTTACGCAACAAACAAGTACTTGCTTCTCTTTCTTCCCGTCCAGGTGCTTCGCTCATCTAGTGTTATGCATTCTCTCCTCCATAAGCAAAACAAGAAGAGACAAAAGCTAGAAGGGAGAGAGCAGAGAGAAGAGGGAGGATGAATGGTGAGATTGTTCCTAAATCTTCATTCTGTAACAAGAGAACCACATGGAGGATGATTGCAGTGAGACTGAGTAAGGGCGCTTATCTTTACCATTTGTTATTTCTTCCTTGTGTGTTTCTTGTACATTCTGCTCGCGGCTTCCTTTTTTTTGTTGTTATCTAGCTTGCTTAAGCACTCTTGTTAGTTCCTTGTGTTTCCCCTGTTGTTTGTTCCTTTCTAGCTGAACGGGTAGACCAAAAGAACATGCGCAAGTGGACAGGGGAACCGTCTTCGCCCTTGTATTTACCCTTTTCTTTCTCCTTGAAAGAAGGAACAGAAAAGTTGGAACGCAGGGGAAGGATTAAAGAACGCAAAGGAAGGGAACAGAGGAACTCAGAACAAACAAGTACTTGCTTCTTTCTCTTCCCGTCCATGTGCTTCGCTCATCTAGTGTTATGCATTCTCTCTTCCACAAGACAAACAAGAAAAGACAAAAGCTAGAAGGGAGAGAGCAGAGGGAAGAGGGAGGATGAATGTAGTGAGATTGGTTTGTGTTCTTAAATCTTCATTCTGCAAGAAGAGAACCACAGAAGAGAAAGAAGAAAGGATTAGAGGATGAATGCAGTGAGACTGGGTGTGGGCACTTATCTTTGTCATTTGTTATTCCTTCCTCGTGTTTTCTTGTGCGTTCTGCTTAGAAAATTTGGAACGCAGGGGAGGGATGAAGGCAAAACTGAGGAATAAGGGAACTCAACTGCGCTCTAGGGGAAGACGAGCCCAGGGAACTCAGGCCTGCACTAGGTCTCTAGGGGGAGCCTTGCAACGAACAGCTGCCCGCTTTCTTTCGTTCTTTCGAGGGGTTTGTGGGGGAGATCCCCGCGCGCAGCCCCAAATCCGACTTCGCGAGACTGTTTACTATTCTCTCCTCCATAAGAAAAACACAGAGCAGAGAAAAAGCGAGAAGAGAGGAGAGCGAGGACGAAGGTAACGAGATGATCTTGGGTTCTTGGACATTCATCTTTCTTTCCGGCAAGAACAGAGCCAGAGAAGAGAGATAAGAGAGCAAGATAAGAGAGCAGAGGAGAGGATGGATGTCTTCCTTGTTCTTCACCTGTTATCCGACTCCCTTCTCCTGAAAAAATGTTTGTCGCATGTATGTTGTTTTCCTCTTGTTGTCTGTTCTTATCTCGTTGAATGGGTAATTAAGTTCAAAAGAAAAAGCGCAAGAGGACAGGGAACCGTCTTCGTCCTTTGGTTTACTTCCTTTTTTCTCCCTAGAAGAATGAACAGAAAAGTTGGAACGCAGGGGAGGGATCAAAGAACGCAAAAGGAAGGGAACACGGGAACTCATCCCTGCTCTAGGGGAAAATTAGGTCCCTTATGCAACAAACAAGTACTTGCCCTCTCTATCTCTTCCCACCCATGTGCTTCGCTCATCTAGCGTTATGCATTCTCTCCTCCACAAGCAAAACAAGAAGAGACAAAAGCTAGAAGGGAGAGAGCAGAGAGAAGAGGGAGGATCAATGTACTGAGATTGGCTTGTGTTCTTAAATCTCCATTCTGCAAGAAGAGCACCACTTATTCCTTCCTCGTGTTTTTCTTGTACATTCTGCTCGTGGCTTCCTCTTTCTTTTCCTTGTTGTTATCTAGCTTGCTTAAACTCTCTTGTTCCTTGTGCTTTCCCCTGTTGTCTGTTCCTTTCTCGCTGAATGGGAAGATCAAAAAACATGCTGGACAGGGGAACCGTCTTCGTCCTTGTATATACAACTTTCTGTCTCCGTAAACGAAGGAACGGAAAACTTGGAACGCAGGGGAGAGATTAAAGAAGGCAAGAGGAAGGGAACAGGGGAACTCATCTCTGCCCTAGGGGGAGAGTGGGCCTCCTTATGCAACAAAAAACTACTTGCTTCTCTCTCCTCTTCCCGTCCATGTGCTTCGCTCATCTAGTGTTATGCATTCTCTCTCGCACAAGAAAATCAAGAAGAGACACAAGCTAGAAGGGAGAGAGCAGAGAGAAGAAGGAGGACAAGAAGAGAACCACAGAAGGGAAAGAAGAGAGGATTAGAGGATGAATGCAGTGAGACTGAGTGTGGGCACTTGTCTTTGCGATGGGATTTCATTCCTCGTGTTTTTCCTTGTACATTCTGCCCGTGGTTTCCTCGTCCTTGTTCTTGTTGTTCTCTTTATCTAGCTTGCTTAAACACTCTTGCTAACTCCTGTAGATAAAATGAACATGCACAATTGGACAGGGGAACCGTCTTCGTCCTTCTTCTTTACCCCTTCTTTCTCCGTAAAAGACGGAACAGAACAGTTGGAGCGCAGAGGAGGGACTAAAGAAGGCAAAGGAAGGGAACAGGGGGGAACTCGTCCCTGCTCTAGGGGAGAGTGGGCCTCCCCTATGCAACAAACAACTACTTGCTTCTCGCTCTTCCCGTCCATGCGCTTCGCTCATCTAGTGTTATGCATTCTCTCCTCCATAAGCAAAACAAGAAGAGACAAAAGCTAGAAGTGAGAGAGCAGCCAGAAGAGGGAGGACGAATGGGTTGAGATTGACATGTGTGCTTTATATGTAGCCATTATTCTCCTCGGTAAGAAGAGCCAGAGAGAGAGAGAGAGAGAGAGAGCGAGAGAGAGAGAGAGAGTGAGAGAGAGAGAGAGAGAGAGAGAGAGAGAGAGAGAGAGAGAGAGAGAGAGAGAGAGCGAGAGAGAGCGAGAGAGAGAGAGAGAGAGCGAGAGAGAGAGAGAGAGAGAGAGAGAGAGAGAGAGAGAGAGAGAGAGAGTGAGAGAGAGAGAGAGAGAGAGAGAGAGAAAAAAAAAAAGAGGAGACGGTGGATGAAGGTAGTGAGACGGACTTTTTCTTTGATGATTCCTTCCACTTTCCTTTTCTTCTAAGAAAGGGAAGAGAGGAGAGGGTGTAAAGTGAATAGTGACTGAATGTAACACAGTTCCATGGTTCCTTGATCTTCTCCTGTTATCCGACCCCTTTTCTCCTCGACAACAGGAAGGGGTGATAAACCCTGGACTGTTCGTACAATCCTTTTATAACCGTTGAATGCACAGCCCTAGACCATGAGCCCAAAAGCCATAAAATGTCACCTACTTTCTAGTAGCAATATGCATAATATAAAACGCAAGCTCATTTGATAACTGTTAGTACTGTTGAAGTAAAACCCAAAGCAAGTCATCACATTATACCTAAAGGTCCATGGCACATATATATATATACACATGTTACAAGTGAAATTCACAAGGAATTAAAATACTGCAACGTGCATCTCAATCTTGAGAAACGTGTCAAATCGCAGACAGCCCAGTATTGAATACATTGATGGTGCGGTTCCCAGGCAAATGTAGCTACTTACTACGCTGTTTACAGATAATGTGGACAATAGACGAGAAATCAGCAACAGGCTTGCAGAAGCAACAAGAACCTGCAATAAACTCAACACTGTTTTGGAGCCGCGCAAGCATTTCAATCACTTGGAAAACCAAGTCTTCCATTCGATACTATGAAGTACAGAAATGACTGCACTGCATGGTCTAGAAGCCATTCGAACGAACTAAAGAGGTTCCTTGCATGTCACATGCAGATTACAGAAGAGTATTGCACATCCCCCTGCATTTGTTGATCGATCTTCCTCAGGCAGAGTAGTAGTTGAAACGCTGCAGACATCTCACAATGTCCGCGCGGTGAAATTCGCAGATATCTCGAGGCACCCCAAGTGCCAACTGCCCTAGGACATAGACATATATATGTGTATATGTATATATATATATATGTATGTATATGTATATGTATAATATATATATATGTAAAAATGCGAACCAACACAGAAGACCCGCTACGGAGACAAGCACGAATTTCCCAAGGATGGAACGTATGCGAAGATCAGGACAACCAAGGGCCAATTTGCTCCTCGAAGCGTACGCAACAGCCAGCGTTCAACCTTTTGGGAAGCAACGGACCTTTTGATCCCGAGAACAGAAAACATCTCAATTACGTACACCAATCCGCACCACAGAAGCGATCTTTAGGTAAAAGCTCTAAATACCCTCAGTCGAGACAACAGCATCCCCAACGAACAAGTCTCCAGTTCAGTGGCGTTGCAAGGTCATTGAAAAAAGCAATTTCTCCTCAACGCTCGCTCTGCACAGCTTCAGCGTGATAAACCTGGATCGGTGCGCTCAGCCTAGAGCCTGAGCGTTGCAAAAACACCTTCGGCTCAGCTCATGATGGGTTCATAATTGTCGCACATGTCATTTCTGTAAAGCTGTGAACCCCAGTTGGTCACCGTTGAGGGTCTGAAATGTGTGGCTGAGAACTTGACAGTGACAGAAAAATGAAAGAAAAATGAGCTTCAAGCAGCGCGGCTCTGCTTCCTGGATGTTCACAACTTGTTGGCCCTGTGAGGGCTTTGAGAGCAAAGCATTACTGATGCGGATCTGGCAGGCGGATGCTGCTGCAGTTCAGATCTTTGCGCTGCAGGACATTAGTCCGGGATCAATTCGGTTCTGTTTGTCTGGTTGCCACTGGTGGCATGCGCAATGAGGATGCTTGGTCCACAGTTTTGCTGAGGTATAGCGTACTCAACTGTCCGAGCAATTCGGAAAGGATGCGACCCCCAAGACGGTGTGGTCTGCTTTCTTTGGACACTCGACGGCCATTAGGACTACTTTGGGACTTTGGGACAGTGGAGTGGTCTGCGGTGCGCATACTGGAGTGTCACAAGCAGATGCCACATGCCTTAGCCTCAATTCTTGAGACAGTTATGTATATATATATATATATATATGTATATATATATACATATATACTTTTAAACCATGATGGGTGGGCAGAGGCGTTGAACTGCGAAATCTGAATGAGCATTAGCGCCCGTCAGCGCCCTTGCCAGTTCCATCTTACTGCCACTACGCCTCTCAGGTTCTAATGTTGAAGTTGAAGAAGCCGTGCAGGCTGGGTGGAAGCATCTGATGTTGGGTGTGACATTTGCAGCTTTCTCCAAATAAGGGGTACTGCTAACATACCCCAAAGTACCCCTGTTTCCGGAAGCCACCAGATGGGCCCCTAAGTTTCCCATCCTGAAATTCGGTCGCTTCTGGGCCTGGTCGCGTTTTGAGCCGCGATTGGGCGCTGCATGATGTCTTGGACACACAAAAAGCACACCCACAAGGCAGATGCTAGCCTCCCTGCCTCTCCTTGACATCCTACACCTGCAAAGTACATGCTGTATTTTCGTTTCACTCCTTCAGGCAAGACGCGAGCTCCTCGCCATCGCCTACTACTTCATTCGGGGCTGGCTCTGAGGAGCCACCTTCACTGACATGTCTCAAGATCTGTCGTCTGGCCTGGGAGGTGCCGCAACCCCTTGTAGCTAGCGGCAAACTAAGCATCTCAAAGCTGTACTACTGCCCAAAGATCCGTTGTCCCTCATACAAGCGCATGCTTGTAACGACGTGCTGGAAAAGGGGGATTGTCAACAGGTAGCCCCGTTAAGAAATCTGCTTCTCTCCCCGCCTCCCCCCAAATGGTGTCCACGTCGCGCACACTTGGCTTTTGCATTGGCTTAGACGGTCTTCGACCAGAAGTCTTCCTGAATCTCAAACCTTCTGAAAGCCATCGTAAGTGCCTCGTCTTGTACAACAATTTTATGCACCCCGGAAAAATACGTGACATCTCAACAACGCTGGTTTCATTGAAGACGAGCCTGAGTCATGGCTCGATGGCGAGCTCCGTGGCTGCCCTGGGACTCATCTGTCCCGGTCTTTGTCGCATTGTGCAGCTTGGGCGGCAAAGTGTGTGACCCGGGAAAGGCTGTGGAACACGAAAAGCGCGGCTGGGGCTGTCATGGCATGTTTAATTGCCAATGAGTCAAAATGAGCCCACCCAAGCAATCCTGGCACACTTGTTTTTTACTTTCAGCTCTTGATGCCTTTCGACTAAGAATCCCAGGTCTGAGCGCAGGAGTCTTTCAGGTGCGTCCGGGGTTGCCTGTGATGCAGAAGGGGACCGATTCAGTATCAGAAGAAGCTGCCCGAGCAGTCGTAGGTCCAAAGGGTTCTGCACGTCATGACCCAAACCTGATCACCATATCCTATCCCCTCAACCCACGATAGCTTTGAGCAGGCACATGCCCTGAGATTCTGACAGGCGAAGGCTGGTCTCAGCCAAGTTGGGGGCTCAGATACGGAAGTTGAAGATGCAAAAGGGTCTGCAGTCACATGAGGCATCTGACGAGCCTGACTTTACGTCTTGTGAGAACTATGGGACTGAGAATGATGGAGACTTAGGACATCTCCGCGCCTTGCGAGGACATTTTCTTTGACGAGGGAGCTTTGTTGCAACGTCGCTTGGACAGAGTAAAAACACATGCTCATGTATCAGATTTTTTGTCAGTCCCAGAGTCTTTTCAACCGAACTGATCGCACGGAAAAAGAGCAGCTCCAGTGAAGCTTTCTCAGGTGCAACGACGTAGAGAGAGTAGTCGGAGTAGCCATTCGTTCAGCCTGTCTTGATCCCACGTGACCTTCATGAAGCGTTGCAGGCCCGCACACAGAAGCCTTCGGTTCTCACAAAAGCTGTAGTTCAGCTTCATGGCATCATCATCGTTTACCACAAATCCAAACCTCCGAGCCTGCTTTTGCTGAGACTTTGTGAATTGAAATGCGTTCTTGCTGACTCTTCCTGGTCATGTCGCATAGTGGTCGGCTCTCTTACCTCGATCCTACAGAAGTGCCGTTCTGGTAGCTGCCCTTAGTCTCCTGCCATAGGCCGCAGAAGCTAAATAGAGAATGTCGGAAGCTAACCAGACTCTACTATAGACCCGGGAGAGACTCCCCTGCAACACTCAAACCCAAGCCTAGAATTCTGAACTGCGTGGTCAGGCCCCACTTCCAGGACCCCGGGTGCCGCTTCCCTGGCATCGCACGGCGACCTTCACGACCTTGGAAGTACATCTGCGGTGCGCGGCTACATCCCGCAGAAGTGTCCGAATCCGGAGGATTGTGCAGACATTGTTGCTCAATCTTCTGTTAGGAATGTTTTGGCTTCTGTTTTTTTTTTCAGGGTTGGAGGGGCACAAGGGCAACCGTAAAATTCAGATTTGGGCTCAGACAAACGGCTGCATCCCAAGCAGGATGAGTAAAGCAGTCGGCAGTGTTTCCAGCATTGCAGACCCGCCATGGCGCAGTGGCAAAGGGACTTGAAGATACAGGCATGTAGCGATAAGCAGCTCTAGGCTAGCTACGTCGTCGTAGTGCAGTGGGAACACTTCCCCATCCAGGGGTCCTCAGCGGACAGACAAATGGTAGAAAGAGCACCAGACTCCGCCCAGGGTTCCAACTGCGCTGGGCCCTCGACTGCGGAGCTCGTCGTCCATGGCTGAGCTTGCAGTTGGTTCTTGGTGTGGGGTTGGTTAGATTTCAAACTGAACTCTTCCTCGTCGCCCTGTCTACTCCTTGCCCATCACCCCAGAGTATTCCCAGCGTGTCCTGGAATACCCAACCCCACAGAGTCCTGCAAAAGTGTCCAATCCCAAACCATGCCCAAACTGTCCTGGGAGTGACCCCCCAACCCGGACTATCCCCGCAGAGTCCAACCTCAGAGGATCCCAAGGCTGCTCGGAGTTGGCCATCCAGAGTATCCCGAAGAGGATCCCCACACAGTCCTTGACCCCAGAGAGTGCCTGGAGTGCCCAACCCTGGAGTGTCCTCACAGAATTCCAGAGACCTTTCACACAATTCCAGAGACTCTGGAGTGCCCAACCCTAGAGTATACCCCACAACAGCTTGGAGCACTCACCGCCAGAATATTCCCCAGAGTCACTGGAGTGCCCACCCCGGACGATCCAGACAATCCCTGGCTGTATATTTCTGGCCTGGAAAGCCCAACCCCAAAGTATGCCCAAACGATCATTGGAGTGCCAAACCCTCCCTGGAGCGTCCGATTCCAGATGATTCCCAGAGATCCCCAGAGTGTCCCTGGAGTGCCAGAGTGGGCTCGCAAATGCATGCCTGCAGGGTGGGGATGTTCGAGATCAAAAAAATTGGGGTTCGAGGTGCTCAGGGTTTTGGAATTAGGGTTGGGTGGATGCGAGATGGTCTTGTCCAGTTTGTTTGTTGTTCTTGGAATGCACAGATACGAACCCGAGCGTTGCGAAGGCGACGGACGTATACCAAGAGAGTGACGTGGGGGTGGTCCCTTGCGTGGCGGCAGACATGTACAAATCACGGCCGCCTTTGATTCGAAAGCTCACACAGGAGCTTTCGTTCAACGAACAGCTTGGCTGAATCAACATAAGGGGCATGGGGAGGGGGGGTTTTGGGGAACCGGACTTCTGGGTCATATTGGTAGCCTAGCCCCCGATGTGCCGGACACTATTTTGGGCGATTCGACTTCGGCCGAAGTGAGAAGAACCGGATCATCCAGGCGCCGCGAAAACTCGCTCAAAACAAGCACGTTTTGACTGGGCTTTGAAGTCGTCTTGGGTTTGCTTCCCAAGTCGTGCCCGGTGCCCTGAGAAGGCCTTGGCCCGATTCACAGCAGATCAGCATCTCAAGTGGGGATATATCGAGCCTGATGTTACGTTCCGCCCCACAAGGTGGGGGGAGTTCGGACAGGTTCAGGACAGACAGATTCTGGAGGACCGGCTTTTGACAGAGGGGTCGCGAAGGGGGCACAAAAGAGCACCCCGATTTTCAGAAGGCATCCGGCAAGAGGAAGCAGCCTGGCTCTTCGAATCGTACTTGTCGGCCCAACACATGGGTGCAGCGACATACAGCACATGAACCAGCAAGCCGTCCTTGGGCTCAACGAAAATGCCTTCGGGTTTGTTCTTAGCCATGATGAATCACAAGTTGTGGGATTCGGGGCGTATGCGCGTTCAACAATTTCCGGGTAAAGAACAGGGAGAAGCGGAATCGTTGGACGTGGAAGGTTTGAACGGCTTGAGGGCGACCTGCTCTGTAAAGGAGCACGCGCTGGTAACATGCCCTACAAACCTGCCATCACAGATTCTCCGCTAGAGGGCGATATTGCTGCGAGGGGCCTGTAGATAACTGCATTGCCGACGTTTAGTTTGAGGAGGGCACGAAGTGGCACAAAAGTTGAAGTAATGGCGTGCTCAATTTGCGCAAGGACGGGCCCCGGCCTTTAAAAACGCTGCCGGGGCCGGCATCGGCCTCTGGCAGGTTCATTCCATCGCGTCTTGTCGTGACCCTGGGCCAGAAGCCCTAGACCCCATTCCTCGGTGACGCCTGTGTGCCTACAAAGACACCGCCGAAGTTGCTGGGACGAGCTGCCTGAGCCAGACCCGCACTGGGGCCGGCTGACGAAATTCCGGGAAAACAGCAGCGGACGCCCCGAATCCTAAACTCTAGCTTTTGTACCTCAGCACTTGAAACCGCCTAGGACTCAAACGCAAGTCCGCCACCCCGTTCCCCCATGTCTAGTTCCTAAACCTTGAAACCTTAGCCGAACCTGAAAGTTAAACACCTCAGAATGTCGTGAACGAAGTCAGTGTTTCGCTGCGCTGGCCGAAGCATGTTTCGCTGAGGTGAGGGAGGTGCCTTCGAGTTGTTCACTCTGCCGATTGGCGCCCGATGCGACGGCAATCCTATACACCATACAACGAGGTGATGGGGCTGGAACTCGAGTCGGGCAAGCTTTGATGAGCATGGCGTATGCATCTCAGTACAACTTGAAGTTTGGTGGCTTCTTCCTACCCTGGGACCAGAAAGATCTGGTTCACGGAGCTGATCAGCCGACAGCCCTGAGTGCGTTTCTGGGATGCAACTACTCAGACTTGCTTGTGCACGTGGAGAAGCCCCGGTTTGCAGAATGCTGGAGTGGTGCTCCTCTTGGTGGCGCAGTTGACAACCAGGCCAACCAGGCCATACTGCTCCACCAATGCAACGGTATCTCATGCCGACCTGATCTCTCCATGCTCACCTGGGGGTTCTTGGCAGAGGTTCGAAAGTCGACACTGCTTCTCAGTCACCCAACGCCACTCTTTGAAGGCAACCGACTTCGTGTTGTGATTCACATACGGCGAGGGGATCGACAACCTGGGGGTTCAGCATTTTCTGAACCCACCTGGGCTTCGGATACCTTGTACCTGGATTTCCTTAGTTCCTTAGACCGACTTGGCGTTGATGCTCAGGTTCATGTGTTCAGTACCACAGAGGAACGCACGAAGAGCAAAGACTTTGACATCTACAGAAGTCGGGGGGCGTACGTACATCTGGACGGCGATGCTGTGGAGGATTGGGCCCACATGGCTCAAGCTGACTTGCTGCTTATTGCGCCAAGTACATACTCTTGGGCAGTTGGACTGCTGAATGAGACTGCCCTGTGTTTGGTACAGCTTTGCACCATTTGTTGTGAGAACCTGCAACTAACCACACCAATATTCGGGGGTTCAAAACCCAGCTAGGACAAATGCGTGGCGATTTTCAACTATGTACCTTTCCCGGTCATGATGGACTGGATAAGCTTGAGTGAGGACTTGAATGAATTCGGGGAGGTTGGCAGATGCCTACAGAAGAAAGGACTGCACAACGCTGTCCAGTAACTGAACGCTGCAGGATCCTGCCCCAAAGTGGTCTAGGATTTCCATTTAGCACCTTCTGAGCATCATTGAGCGTATCTGCATGGCTATTGTCCTTCTGCAAATTCAAGGGCCGCAAGCCTAGCTAGTCCGGATACAGCATGCACCTTCTTGACGCATTCCATGCTGTGGTTTGGGTAGTGGCAAAAGTACCATCCTTGCTGGCTGCAGTGCTAACACGAGGTCGCTAGCCAGATTCATGTGAACAGCACCTGTCTGTCTAATTTAGAGATCCATATCTGCCCACTGCCGCACAGACCTGTGTGGTGGATGGACGACCCCTCGTTCTGCAGCGCAAGGATGCCAAAAGGGGAACGAGGGTTAAGGGCATCTCGAAGAGCTACTGTAGGGCCCCTTTTGTGCCCTACAATCTTGATGGCACCGCAAGCCCATGAAGGACATCATTGCCCGAGCACCCGAAGGCCCACTTTGAGCTTGACGTGCCTTGCACGTTTTTCCGGGGTTTTGGTGTTTGTTTTGTTGGGACCCCGGTTTCGATGGCGCGAGTCCATACAAACTCACGCAGCCCTTGCAGCTTGCAGATGTAGGAACCTCAGGATAGAGTTGCGGCCTCGAGGGATTAAAGCTTGACGATTGATTCACGTTTCGGTTGGGCCCCCTGCAGAAATTTGAGGAGTTAAGGCTTGCGGATTGCGAGTATGGCTTGGTTGCTGTTGCATAACGCCCAAAGGACGCAATCGGGTGCATCTGATGCCAATACTGCATGTTCCAAAAATCGCCTAAGTAACCCCTTCCCCTTCCCCTCCTTGCTCGCCAAAGCCGTCTCCAAGCAATCCCTTTTTTAAAAAACCTCTACTCTGCATCCCCTCTATTTGTTGGTTTTTGCTGAACTCTGCAGCACGACACAGCATTTCGCAAGGCGGCACGCGACCCTGATGGCAAGTGACATGCTTCGTTTGACTAAGAATATTGGAATTTTATTGCAGATGTTGGAGAATGAGCTCAATCGGGCACAGAACCTGATGCACCGCCACCGTCGCAGCACTGCAATCACTGCAGCTGTCACAATAGTAGCACTTGATTGTCAAGAGCGACTGTCACACTACCCAATGATGCCCTCTAGCGTAGCCTTCCGCTTGAGAATGCATGCAGCACATCAGCAGCAGTACTTGGTTGTCATCCCTGTTCCGGGTTGTAGCCATGGCAACATGCATGTAACAATCTGCAAAGTCATACGGCCCCATGAAAAAACTACACACGCACACAAATTCTCAGCACGGCTTCCTGCCTCACTGTCATACTAAAAAGTTCAAAAGCAGCCAGCATCAACACCAAAAAACACACTGATACCATTCCTTGTCGACACTTCCTCTTTTGGTTAACGTGCCCTCCTATCATGACATGCCAGTGCTGCTTTAAGACCAGCTGCGCACGTTGCGATTCCAAACTCTTGGGCAGATTCAGGCGGACCTTCGCACCGCAGAGCGTGTCTGTGTAGCAGGCAAAGCCCCTGCTCAATGACGAAGCACGCCCGAAGGTGGCGCGCAGCCTCCAAAGATGGCGCGGAGAAAAGGTTTGGCGGTTGTGGCGGCTACAGAAGCAACAGGAAGCGCACATGCTTTGCGTGTACAGTGGCACGGCGCACAGGCCGCCTGAAAAGCAAGGTGCTGCGCGGGCGGGGGTCTCAGATCTGATCTGATTTGCCTGAACACTACTTAAACCCCTGATCAACCTTGTATGGTCCAGGCTTGCGGCGTCGGTGTCGGAACCCTCAATGAGGCAGGCTCTCTGTTTGGTTGTTGCCCTAAGTGTCAAGTTTGGCACAGGCATAGACTGGCCTGGACCGACTGCGAATTTGTTCTGTTGAGAGAAGCGGGATTGCATTGGCGCGGAAAAAGAAAGCGGTTTGAAGCACAGTCTACTCTTCAGGTCTTATCTCCCTTTATCAGGGTTACTCCAAATCCTGGCTCCAGGCACTTGGAACCTGAAGCAGGCGCTGCGGGGGCGGGGGGGTTCGTCCATCTTGGAATGCCTGGGCTTTCTGGCTGGAGCTCGCCGTGCCACGAATAGGTCGAGGCCCTGAAGCCCTAAGCCCTCAGCCCGCACGCGCGTAATTGTGTGTGTGTGTGTGTGTCTGTGTACTACTCTGATGCAACGAGCTAACTCATTTCATTGCTTTTCAGCAGGGGGTCCCAGGTCTGCTACTCATGCTGGGACCAACGAAGACCATGAGTGGCAGACGTGCAAGCGTACCTGCTATGAGGAGTACCTGGGTGGTTGCGTCCGCAGCTGGTATCCTTAACGGGGACAGGAACTTCATCCCCGCAACGTGTTACATGTTGTCGTCAGCCAGACGACAACATATGCCACACGACGACGACGCAAGGGACAGAACCCACATCCCGACGATCATTCCTGTGGTCTGATTTGGGGCCTGAAACCTAGCCCAAACAATGACGACGATAGTCACTGAGCATACAGAATTTGAAAAGCTGATCTCGCCATCAAATGTAATCTCTAACTAACAGGATTCGTCCTGTGAGCAAGCGTGTCTTGATCTGGCTTTCTGTCAAAGGTGCCAGATGTAACTCTTGAGCAAGAAACGCTTGAATTCGATTCGCTTGTTGAATGACATTGTTCCCCAAGCCACTAAGCGTTGTCCAAGACGCGCAAGCACATGCAAGTGCTGATACGATTTCCATGTTAACTTGATTCCCTTCACTTGATTCCTTCAACTTGATGTATACTTGACTTGATTTTTGGTCACTTGATTTCCTTTGCGTGATTCCCACTTTAAATCTCCGGAAGCAACGCACAGGCCTGAACACGTCTACGGCAGAATGTCTTGACGACGTGATTCGGGAAATGATGCTGACGACACGTGGGAGTCTCAAGACTGGTGGCAGCCAGCCACATGGGATTCTCACGTAGGCGGCCTGCAAGGCAGCGTGTGGAACCTGACAGCCCCCATGGACACAACCTTTGTCGTTCACTACCCCGCATCGGGGGAGCTGTGTGCGTGTACCACTCTGATCGCAAGAGCTAACTCATTTCATTCCTTTTCAGCAGGGGGTCCCAGGTATGCTACTCATGCTGGGACCAACGAAAACCATGAGTAGCAGACGTGCAAGCGTACCTGCTATGAGGAGTACCTGGGTGGTTGCGTCGGCAGCTGGTATCCTTAACGGGGACAGGAGCTTCATCCCCGCAACGTGTTACACGTTGTCGTCAGCATTGCACCTCACAGACGACAACACATGCCATTCCTGGTGTCTGGCGCGACGACAACGCAAGGGACAGAATCCACATCCCGACGATCAATCCTGTGGTCTGATCTGGGGCCTGAAACCTAGCCCAAACAATGACGACGATGGTCACTGAGCATACAGAATTTGAAAAGCTGATCTCGCCATCAAATGTAATCTCTAACTAACAGGATTCGTCCTGTGAGCAAGAGTGTGTGTGTGTGTGTGTGTGTGTGTGTGTGTGTGTGTGTGTGTGTCGTGTCTGCGCGCGCGTGCAATCGGCGAAGATGTGCTCCAGGCCAGTCCAGTCGAGTGACGGCTGAAATGGCATTGAGGCCGCAACACCTTGGCAGCCTTGAATTGCGTAATGCCGGCGGAAGCTTGTTGACTTCTTGTTGCTCGCTGTCTGTGTGTTAAAGTAAGTGTGCATGCAGGCTTGTGTATGTGACCCCCTTAGTCTGTAGATTGTCGTAGACGGCAATCGATGTTGTCACTAAGCTTGGGAAACTGTTGGCTGTTAGCGATTCTTTGCTTCCTTGTTCCGAGCAGCTCCGAATCTGAGAGGCACCACGAGGTGTGCCATCGCCAGGCGCACGCTCCCCTCGACCAGCCGTGCAGATCTCGGCAGTACTTGCGAATCTTCGCTGAGCCCAAAAAGCCCAAAGCAATGAGGAGAGTGCATCAGGTGGATTCATTGTCCGGTTGTGCTCCAGCCTCTCATCAAGAGCATTGTTTTTCGGATTGTCTAAGATCGCCTTTCAGCTGCCCGGACGAGCTGGTGTTGTCTGGTAGCAGCCTCAGCAGGGTTACAAGGTCGCCTTTTGGTGGTGGAGACACCAAGACTGGAGCACGGGGGAGCAGTTTGGTAAAATCCGGCCCAGGCCGGTACCCGGACGGCATTGGCGGAAGCCGCCTTGTGGCAGAGGTTCCACTCAGGCAGGGTCGCAGTCGTCTGCCATGATAATATCAGACTTTCGGATGCTACGCTCGTCTTGCAGGAGCCATGAAGTTGTTTGCCGACAGCGCCGGCGGGCTGAGCAACCATGAGCATAAGATACGGGTACTGTAAGGCAAGACATCCTCAAGAACTACTTATAGGGTTGCATACGTTGCACTGCGTATGAAGGGTTCTGCCACGCTCAGTGCTAGTGCTACGCCCTCTGTAGGTCTTTAGTCTTGATTAGAGGGTCGGGCCACAAGTGCAAGCCTGCCCATCCAAGATGGCTGGCCGCACAAGCTTTGTCCCCAAGGGCCTGTCAATGTCACCTCACTGGTAGGAGGCCTTAATATCCTGAATGCAATGCCCAGATTGCCCAGACATATGCTGCCCATGAAGAAGTTGTTGGGTTCACCGGTGTCTTCGTCTCCACGGCCCCTTGCCAACTACTTTGCAAGATTGCAGGTTTTCAGCCGAAATCCAGCTACAAAAAGCTGCAGCGGCGGCCTTCCTGACCTTGAGTGTCGCAGGGCGCATGAAGTGCAGAGCATGTTAGCTCCGCCACCGCAGCCGTTTTCACCCTGGCCACCCCGAAGTTGTGGTGGCATTCAAGCATTCTTCTGCCCCTAAACTCTCAACCCTAAACCCTAAACCCTACACCCTTTTGCAACTTCAGGGGTTTATAGTTGCGTGGTGCTCTTGTAAGCTTGCTTTACGATGAAGACTGAGTTACTTAGTGTCCTTGAGTCGAACATAGCATGGGTGGCCATGCAGTTCGTGTTGCGGTTATCTGCAGCTGGATCGTGCCCCTTGGAGTTGCAAATACTTGGAAGACACTTCTGATGCACAAATGTTCCGAAGTGAGACCTTGACGAACCCCATCTCTCTGCGACGGCCCTTCCTGCAGGCAATTCACAGCGCAGGCAGAGGACCCGAGCAGGCCAGCGTTGCTGTGCACAAAGGCGTGCAGTGTACCCGAATGCAGGGAGGACGAGAAAGAAAGACAGAGAGAGGTGTCAGCGACTAGCCTCTACCTTGGCACTCCACAGTCTGCACCCCAACCCGACCCGGCCAACGAGCCGGCACTGAGACAGCTCCTATGAATACCATAGCACGGGCAAGTCAAGCAGGATCATCGGACGTGGGCGCCCTCCGGGGCAGCCTCCTTCGGGGGGCTAAGCGTGTGGAGAGAGAGAGGTGTCAGCCCTCAAGCCCCAACAGCGAACAACAGAAAGACGGAAGGACGGAAGGACAAAGACTGAAGAACGGAAAGACAGAAAGAGTGAAGGAAAGAAAGGCCGGGAGGGGCTTGCGTAGGCCGGGGGAGGAGAGGATGTTTTTGGAGACCTTGGAGGTTCAACAGGCCTCGACGTCATGGAGTGCGCAGTGCTGGGCAAGAATAAACGGGCGGGCGACCTGCAACAGCCACTGGTGAGCGGTTTTCGGATGAAAACCCAAGGGGGGGGGGGTTGTGGCCCGCAGGCAGGCTTGCCTCTGCCTCGCCATGGCCACGCGAAAGAAGGAAAGGCCCCAAGAACGAAAGCGACAAGGCGACACACCAAGAGAGGGACATGTGTGGGTTGGTTTCATGAAGAAAGAAAGAGCGGCATTTTTCCGTTTCACCAGATCAAGAAAATGGAAGGTCGCAGCTGGCGCCAGTGCTTTTCTCATTCTGCCGTTCATTGATTGAAATGCACCGGGGCGAAGGTTCCCGGCGACATGAGATTACGATTCGGGGCTTAGGATGTAGCGATGTCTGGGTTGTAGCAAATTGTATGCGCACACATGCGTACACACAAGTGCAGGCGTGCCGGTGATGCGGACTGGGCTCGAGGATTATGCAGCCGGAGCTATGTGGATGCCTACACAGGACACCCAAACTAATCAGATGCCTGGTCTTTGCGAGCACTTGACGGTGCCACAGCTGATCCAAGTGCACGCACTTCACAGGAACCGCACGCTCCTTCGAGAGACATTTGCCTCTGAGCGTCTTGGAGAGATGCTTCTCGGCAGGATTGGCAAGCCGAGGTTGTTTTTCTGGACATGTCCGACTCGCTTCCCAACAAAAACGATGGAGCAACAGGCAAAGCACAAGCTTGCACAGTGGGCCATTGGACCTTTATGAGGCCGACGCCTTGCCTAGGAGATCCTCCCCCCCACGATCTAATGCCAAGGCAAAAAGCAGACACCCTCCAAGGGCTCGTGGATCTGGGAGGGCCGGAACTGGTGCTGGGAGGCCCGGAGCTCAGAGAAGAGCAGGCAGTTGCAACACGATTTTTCGTCCGGTTGCCTGGTCACGCTGCGTGCTCTGAGCCCTCCCCCAAGCTTTTCGGAGAAGGCGGTGAAGCGCCGCGCCTGCTACGGGCACCATTCCTGGCAGGAACCGCATGAGATTTAGACAGAGTGGGGACATTGCCAGGGCTGGGGGATCTTCGCTTTGCACCGTGCCTTGCAGGAACTTCTGCTTTCTGCGGGTCAAACGGAAGCATGTGAGGGGATGTGAGAGAGGAGTTTTTGACCCTCAACCCAAGAGCCCAAGCTCGAAGGATGCCCAAAGGATGGCTGCGGAAGACAAGCAGCTCGTCAGCTGATTTATAACGTCCCGGTTGCTTGGGGCTCCAAGTTTCTGGGCCTCGCCAGGATCCAGTGCTTCGGGGGATTTTGCAGTGGTCCTCGTAAACCTTGCTTCCCATGACCCGGAAAACTCGTATCCCAGCCGAGCCAAAGTCAAAGGTTCCCTTTTGTTTAAAATGCTTCATAGAAGAATCCGCTCCCAAGCCATGGCGCAGAACAGATATCTCTCGGGCCCTTTACTGGGATTGCCCTCGCTTGTGAAGTTCTGGCTCTGGCCTTCGGATGTGGAAACTTCCTGTCGTAGTCCTCCCAAAAAAATCCAATGGGAGGGCGGACACTGTTCAGGGCGTGGGTGATTGTTTTTGGGAAGGGTGCAACACCAATGGGGACTCAGCGTTGTAGCAGCACTAGATGGACCACATCACATGTGCAGCTCCACCTTTCAAGGAAGGTCGCCTGCTACCGTCTCCAACAGCTTGACAGCCACCAATAATATCCCCAGCCCCCAGAGGGAAGCTCCGCGCCTCGAAGACCTGCTCCTGCCTGCGCTGCAGGCAGCTCTGGGCTTTTGAGGGAGCTGCGGGGGGGGGGGGGGGGGCTTTGAAGGATCTAGGAATCTACGCCTGTGGCCCAACTCGGGCCGAAGTCTTCCTGACTCTGCCTCCTGCTCGTCTACGCCTCTCTGGGCCTCTTGGGCGGATTCAGGATGCCGAGCGCTGCGACGTGCCGAAGCTTGGTGCCCCACCAGCAGTTGGATGGGAGGCCCAGGTCCCTTTTCTCTCTGCAACACGTCAGACTTTCAAAGGCATCATCTTATGGTTTCCACAAGAATGCCAAATGCAGGGGCCACTTCCCTGGCTCAACGCTACAGACTGGAAGCGCCCCGTAAGCCAAGCCAAATTGTGCTGGGCACAGCAGTTCCGTGGGCCCGGCCTAGTGATCTGTAGCAAGGTGCGTCGCTCGAGCCGGATCCACCGTCTCAAGGCCAGAAAAATGCTGGGCTCCCATGTGTCCTGGCGTCGTGGGGCCTCGAATCGTGAGCTGCAGGCCTTCTGCTCCCGGAGCGCGAAGACCGCGTTCAGGATGAGCAGAAGCTCCTCGGCTTCAGGGAGCCGGCTGAGGAGGATCGGAGTTTGTGCCTTGTCCAAGTCCCCTTGAGGTATGTGAACTACCAGATCGAAGCTCACGAAGCTGAGTTTTGGTTTCAGCGACACGCCTCAGGCTCAGATGCTGCGTAAGCCAACTACTCGTGCCGGACTGTAGTAATGTTGACCTCTCTTGGTTCTGCTCGGCTCCCAATAATGTCAAGGTGGCCGTCTACGTGTTGAATCTGCCAACCGCCACCGACCGGTGGTCACGAATCTCGAGGCACCTCCCTTCATACTGAGCTTCAGGGCTAGAGTGCTCTCAGCTTCGGATCTCGCGATAGCTACATCATTGCTATGAGGCTTCGGTTTTTGACATGTCGCCTGCGGGAAACTATCCGGGTTCCCGGCGCATGAAATTTTGAATGGCCGCCCAGTCCGAGCATGTGATGAACAGGGGGACTGCTAGCACAGCACAACAAACCCTTGGAACATGCATGAATGACGGGGGAACAGTTTCTGTCTCTAGGGGGTGCCTTGGATGGAGGTCTGTAAAAGGTACCTGCAGGAAGATCAGTGAAGGAATCTCGGCTTGTGCTGCAGGCTCAAACTCACAAAGCCGGCTTTGCTTAGCATGACATAGACATAGCCCGTCAAATCAACTTCTTAACCGTTATTAGCCAGGCATAAGCATAGACCCCCCATGAGTTAACTGTTAACCTTTCTGCTGGGAGGAGAGGGGGTGCTCAGTTGCTTGGGTTTAGAAAGCCTAAAGGCCTTGCACCTTAAGACCTGTCCTGTGCTCCTGCACCAGGCGGCTGGAGGACTCGGGCTGGAAAGTATCACCTGCCTAGAGCTCAAATGGTGTAAGGGCTCTTGAGGGCAGGGACAAGGCGTATAAGCAAGCGAAGGTAGATGAATGGTAGCCAGCAACTCACACCTTGTCAGCTTCGTGCGATGACTCGGTAGCACGTACAGAAGCTGTGAAGCCGACCCAAAACGCAAAACTACTTACATCCTCAGCCGGTATCCTGGGCCGGGCAACAGCTTTAACACAGGAGCTCCAAATTCACGCTGTGCGCGTGCCTGGGATCGATCTTTCCGGACCGGGTGCCATCCAGCAAGCGCAAGAGGCGCGGAGCTGGGTGTACAGATTTCCAATGTGTCCATTGCAACTGGAGTCCCCATGTCGGACGAATGATGGGCTTCCCATGCCCAGTTTAAACCAAGCGTCCGGAGTGCAACCAAGCAAAGTTGGCAGGAGGGCCTTGTGCCGCTCCAGTGGAACTTCTCCGCTGCCAAGCAGAACATGGTAAGGCCAGCTCCCAGATGTTGCTGGCAGCCTCGTCACATGCCACCATGCCACCCTAAACCGCTACCAGTATAACGCCCCTACTTCTGACGCTTGGATGCCAGGCTCTTGCAGAACAGTAGTGAGGCCGCAGCCCGGAGGTGCCCTTTGCGTGGGATAGGGTGAGAGATCTGAGAGATCATTGTATCATTATTTTAGTGGGCTTGTGCACGTTTTTTGCTGTATGTGGAGTGCTGGTGGGCTTCAGCCCAGGTACCTCGACAACTATGGGCGCGGAACAGTAGGTTGCGACGCTTCCTCAGCAGTTGCATGAAAGCACGTCGTGAAGGCGCACGCTCAGTGGGGCCAACGCATCTAGAGTCTCATCCAAGGCGGCCGCCCACCTGAGAGCCATGTGGCAGGCCATACAAAGAGTGTGTCTGCAATGTTGAGACGTTCTGATCGGCCTACAGCGCGCAGCCTCCATGACGAAAGGCTGCTAGCAACGCTCACCGCCTGGAAAAGCCCAGCGCTTGGACACGTGCGGCCTTGTCTCGAAAACTTCAGTCAGGGGCTAGCAACGCCAGCTGAAGGAATCAGGCCTGCCGACTTTTCATGACTTCTAGTCGCAGCTTAGGCCCTATCACCTTGCGCATTGTCAAGCCCCTCAGCCGTAAGCCCTGAACCCCTAAGCCCCACAGGCCCCTGGCCCTCATCCTGGAAGATGATGTGATGCTCGAGGAGAGGACCATAGCAGCAACTTGCCAAGTGGCGGCGGCCTTCCTGAGCAACTTTGTGCACAGCATATCTCTTTTGAAACCCATTGGGGGCCCCAGGTCCAAGGTGAACACGGGGACTGGGGGGAGAGGGCTTACGGTAGCATAATATGCATCGGTGGGCGCAGAATCAAGCCTGGATCCCCTGCAATCCAGAGAGAAAGGACGACTTCAAGCTCAAGCTGCGGCGCCTGCTACGAACTGAGGCCAGGGTAACAAGCCTTGCAGAGCTGTGTGGGCCGCATGTCATGCTGACTGCTTGCATTCGGCCTGGGTTTAGTCTCCACACATGTCTTCGCATCATCGAATCATGCCTTCGATCTTCCTCGGTCAGTGACGTGCCCGCGACTCCAAGCCCGTAAGCTCCTAAACCCGGAATCCCAGCCATCCCTGAATCCCCCCCACCGCCCTCTGAACCCCTCCAAATGGCTCGGAGGCCCCGTGCGACTGGGAGGTGATCTCCCTTCGCTCACAGTGCCCTTACGGCGTTTGTGTATCTCCGCCTCTGGGCCGCAAGCTTGCCTGTGAAGCTTAAAGATGGCCGGAAACTTCATGCTAGGGTTTAGGACTCATATGGGTTTAGCTTTCAGGGCTTGTGGGTTTAAGGATCGGACTCGAGATGATAGAGAACTGCCGAGGGTCATAAGGACGCTTCCTTTGAGAGGTTCAAAGCACGAGGTAAGCGAGCATCTTGAAGTACGCGGGAGACAGCAATGGGTCTACTCGTTCTGGATTGCTATTACATAAGTCAGTGTTTTCGCCTTAGCAGCGGAGTCATATCAGACCATCCTGGCAGCGTTTGCTTGGGACAAGGCTTTTATGACGTATGCTTAGGAACCATAATGTGCGGTTCCTTGGGGTGTGACTTTCTGAGTCGCTTTGTGACCCCAGTACTTGTAGTTAGCAGATTTCAGGGACCCGTGCGCTGTATGACATCTTCATGTATGCAGCGCGTGGAGCGGCGCGGTCGTACGTTGCAGCACATTGCTGAGGCACCTCACGCGGGTACAGCCCGATGCTAACGAGCCAGAGGAGATGTGCAGGCTTTGTCGATCTGTTCTGAGGGAACCAGGGACAGGCTCTCTGCTTCACTGTCATCATGATTGCGTCTAGATTCTAGATTCTTATTTTGCCACTTATTTTGCCACTACCCTTGTTGCTGTTACAGCTGGTGTGGGTAGTAACGCTTTTGTTGTCCTGGGCAGGCCTTACTCATGTGTAGGCCCAGTGGCTCGAGTCGACTTCAGCAGCTGGGGCACAAGAGTGGGGCACAAGGGGCCTCTTGGAAGAACCTGGCTGAGATCACACTACATCAGAGTTCGGATGCAGGCATGGAGTGAACTATGGCTTCTACGCCATGGTCTACCGTGCCAGAGCCCGAGAAGAGAGCCTCCTGTCGAAATATCCTTGGCCGCGCGAGCATCTGAGTAAACCCGAGACCCTAAAGCTCCAGCCTTCGAGCACCTTCAGGTGGTAGAATGTCGGCTTGCCCTGGCATAAAGCAACTATGGCAGCTTGATCCCGGCCACTGGCAAGGTCAGTTGCCATGCTAAACATCGCATTTAAAGCATTCTCGAAGGGGGATGGCAGCTCGATTTGCAGCTCCATACTCCCATGACACTTGTCGAAGCGGGTGTAACCAGACCCCTTCCTGGCGGGGGTATGCTCGGACATACGGCGGGTTGTAAGCTTCAGACGCACGCTTTTTGCCTTTGTCTCCCGAAAGCGCCCATGGCGCGACATGCCCATGGGCTGCTGGAGCCGCCGCCAAAGATGAGGCGCGCTCCACAACGGATACAATCTTCAGAGCTAGCAGGCTGTACCTGTCAAGGCGGTGAATGTTCTTCACAGAACATTCCTCACCGCACACAGATCGGGAGGCCAGCCGGCGTCGATGTTTCTGACTTTGCCTGGCCCGCGCCGACACCCAGCCGCCATGCAGCCTTCCTTGGGCAGGCCAAAGAGGGGGGCAAACACATACCAAGAGTGCATTTTCCTTCAAAGATGCCCACACTGGATGACTCTGCGAAGACAAAAACTAAATTTCTTGAAGTTACGACAATGAATGACATCGACACTTGCGGCATGTTGCAGCTACATGCTTCCCAAGTGCATACTCAGTCCTGCATCTGTCGCGATCCCGTGACAGAGGTGGATTGCTTGCAGCACCCGCGTGAATTGCCGTGTCCAACGGCAGCATTTATTTTCAGTGCCTGCTTCGTTACGCAAACCCGTCTGCCTCCGTTCTCTTCGGGTTGCTTAAGCCGTCGGCAGCGCGTATGACAGCCTTGCTTACGCTGCAAATCTGCCTGAAGAGTCTAGGCCTGTCAAGGCCGCTAGCGGAATCCTTCCATGGTGGGGCGACTGCAGCTTGGCGTCATCGACCCACCATGATGAACGCTTGCATCGTCGACGCTCGTGAGCTTGGAGTTTCGGGCGCCCTCGCCCTCACTGAATTTCATCTTCAGGTGCCCATTGTCGTACGCAGCAGCTCCGGCGCACCGTTGCTCGAGTTCAGCAAGGGTGCCATCGCCACGCTGGCGACATTTGGGCTCCTGATTGCAGGGCCACTGCTGTGTTTATTGTGAGTGAGGATGGCTTTCGGAGGTCTCGAGAGTCGGCGAAGCTTTGGGAGTATCCGGCTTAGCGGTTTATCGCTACCTCCCCTCCTCAAGCAAACTCCCACCGCGTCCCATTTTCCAAAATTATAATTCCTAAGCCCTAAAGCCGAAAACCACAAGGAGGTGAACTATGAACCTGAAGCCTGAACACCGAAATCTTCCGTTAAACCCTAAGGCCTGAACCCTTAAACTACTTTGCCACGCCTGTGCTCGAGCTTTGTGAGGCTGTGGGCCTGAAACCTCAAACCCTTCCCCCTTCCCACCCCCCACTACCCAGACTAGTTTTCAAGCAGTTTTAGTTTGTGCTGAATTTCGAGGGGAGTCTGAGAAAAACGTCTAAGAATTGCAAGGAGGGGGTTAGTACTAGGGGGGCTAGAAAGGTCCCGGGATGGTTCAAAGGAAACACGCTTTTGCTCGGGCCAGGCGCAGAGCGACGAGGAGACATCTTGTGGGTTCGAGGGGCGTAGGGGCGTTTAGGGCAAGTTTGGGGTTAGGGCTTAGAGTCTTAGAGTTTAGGGATGCTTGGAGGTTTAGAATGTCGCCAACTCTTACGTTGGGAAGGGCTGTAGTCGTTTGAGGCAAAGTTTTCTCAGATCAGGGTGCGATCTAATCTCCCATCCGTGTGCTCAATCATTGACTTAGAGGTTAGTTCACCTTCAGCACCAAGAAAGACGCATTAAAATGAAGGTGTCATGTGATGAAAGGGGAAAATATTCTGATTGCAGGGAGTGTTTGGGGGCGGAGAAGTCGCCGTACTCGTGCCCTAATTACTTGCTCGAACTCGTTTGGTTCTCGATGAGGGGACAGGCGGCTTGCCCAAACTTAGAAAAGGAAGGAAAGAGAGGGAGCAACGCCAGGTGCCCGGATGAGTTTTAAAGAAAGCGACAAGGAGCTGCAGCGGGGGCTCGAGGGTCGCCAGCACCTGCGCGCTGGTGAAGCGCTGCTGCTGCGATATCGACGGAGGCCATGGATACCGAAGGTTGAATGAAGGCTTTGTAGTGGATTTGCGCTGTAGATTTCTTTCTCGTTGCAATACCTGGTAGTACTGGTACAACAAAATCAAGAGCTCTGCCTACGAACCTAGCGAGCAGCAGTGTACAAGCACTTGCGGTAGCAGGAGCTTTCAATTGAAGCAGCAGCAACAGCAGGTGCCAGAATTTGCAAGACACTTGGAGCAGCAAAAAGCAGAGGTTTTGTACCTCAAAACGGTCTGGTAAAGCCGATGCATGTCTAGATAAACCCTGCGATGCTGGATGGCTGGATTCAGGTCCAAAGGCTCAGGTCCAAACATAGGCCCTTCCACTAGACTTCAAGCAGGGCTGTCAAAGAGGGGTTCCAAAAGATCCTTCTTTTCCTACGGTGCAGCATATCACCCTTGATTTTCCGGATGTAGAAGCCCTGGTTCGTCGTAGCTGTAGTACAGCCAATATTGCACGTTCCAAGAAAATCGTAGAGAACGGGATGGTGAAGTTTTGGCACTCGGGACCGAATCCTTCAAGCATTCGTATCAGGCATAACATCGCGCAACCGCAATGCCTGGGTATGTCCCGCAGGCCAGAATCTGGCAACACAACGCCTGTCGGGGATGTGATGCGGAACACACCTCAGGTGACTTTGTCCTGAAGCTGTAAATAAATAAATATAAATATAAATCTAAATATAAATATAAATATAAATATAAAATAAATATGAATATACATAAATAAACAAAAAATATATACATATATATATATATATATTTATATTTATATTTACATTTACATTTACATTTATATTTATTTATTTATATATAGATATATTGGATATAGATATACACATGCTCTTATATGTATATACATATATATGTATATATACATATATATATATAAGTAGCAGACGAAAAAACAACATGGTAGTTTTTATAGGAAATGATCATCACACTGCGTGACCCGCCTCGGCCGGGGCTTGCCATTGCAGGGGCAAGGCCAGGCGCAGCAGAGGGGGGGGGGGTAAGCTTTATGCGACCCAGACACCTGCGGCCCGAGGCCTCGGCAGCTTATAGCCGACCTTGATGCAGAATTTTGCATGTTTTTTTTGCCTTTTTCCGGCCCGACTCTGATCCCTTCTCTGGAGCCCAGGATTTAGATATCGGCTGGTTCGATGCTGGCGGCAAGCTGCTAGAGGTTGCGCCTCTGCACGCCAACGATGCGCAGGCCGCTTGCAGGGTCTACGGAAGCACATGGAAGCACGTTGCATCCAAGCTCCAACGCCGCAAGCAGCCTGCAAAGCGCATCGCCTTCTTCACTTTGCGCCATGAGGTCACGTGGTCCAAGCATGACGGCGTGGCCTGGGGACTGGAAGATGCCTGGCTTGCGCGAGTGTGTAGAAAAACTGACATCGCACTTACTAGACCTATACTTCCCAAACCCCAAACCCTGAGCCCTGCAACTCTAAGCCCCAAAGCTCAAAAAAAACCGCTCTCAAGGCCCCGGCCGGCACTTTCGCAGCCAGTGGCGTGCGGCCGGGTGAGGCATCCTTGGACCTTGCGGCAGTCGAAGGTAGCTGAGGAGAAAAGCAACTGCTGGATGTTTGTCATGACTACCACGACTCGTACTATGGTCACTACGGGTGCTGCTACTGCAATGAAGATAACAGCTACTATGAGTATGATCCTGACTACTAGTATGACTCTGACTACCACTGTCACTGCCAGCGCCAGTGCCAGTGCCACTGCCACCTCCACTACCCCTACGTAGTCCGCAGAGTTCACTTGGTTCAGGTCTTACAGGGTTTTCGAGTTTGTGATTGAGGATTTCGGGTTTATCTGCTTTAGTGCTTGTGGTGATCATCACAGGGCTGACACGTGCCATGAGCTTTTCATGGGCCAGCCTTTAAGGAGAGGATACCCTGAGCCCTGGAACTTTGATCAGCTGGACCCCAGCTCGCAGCCATGGATCTTCGTTTCCATTCAACATGGAAACGGCTTTATGAGGATGCGCCTGCGAGATAGCTCGAAGTTAACGCTTGACAATCCCACTGTCTCGCCCATGAAATTCCTCACCATGTGCAGAAGTACTGACATCACACTTACTAGACCTATACTTCCCAAACCCCACGAGACAAGAAATCCCGCTGCTTTACGCATGCGCTAACGTGCATGTAGTTTAGGCAACCGTAAACGTGTGGAGCGGCGGAATGCTCTTGCCTCCTAGGCTGACTCACTGATCTCCATCGCCAACAAGCTCCACCAGCGCATTTGGGATGAAGCGAGGCCGGCTTTGTCACATCAGGAGACCTGAAAGATTGAGGCTCCGAGAGGATCTATAGAATCTATAGAATATCTATAGAGCATCTTGTGGCATTCTGCGGCTCCCGCAGGCCTGGCTGCCTCGCCAACGACGTCGCTTTGGCCTCGCTGGCAGAGGAGGTACTTGCCGCACTTGCCAGTCTTTGTACTTGCTTTTTGACTTATTCTTTCTTTGAAGGGCTCCAAAGCCTGTTGACTGTTTTGCTTGCCTTGTTACCGCTGCACACTCCGTTGTCAGGGACCTAGAGGCCGTATAGATCAGTGTAGGCCAAAGCCCAGAAAGCTGCCTTGTGGGATTCTGAATCTGCAGCTCGAAGGTGGTCTACTACGCGGTTCCCTCGTCACAGGCCGTTTGCCGAGTTTTCTCTGGGGAACCTGACAGAAACCTCACTGGGCACTTGGGCGCACTGCGAAACCATGCATCTCTTGCATTTTTCTTCTTGTTGCTTATGCCGGACCCCTCAAGGCTCGGAGAGCCCGTCACTGCCACCGTGCATACCACAACTGCCGCGACCGTCACTGCTTTCAAATCCTGCCTGTTCAGATTCATTTCGCTTCTCTCTCTTCTGAAACGAAGAGCATGCGAGCTTTGCGCCGTTGCTTCGCAGGTGCCTGGCTTTCTGGACCATGGTGACGGCTTCGGCTCTGCCACTCGGCAAACAGCAGCCGCTTGAATTGAAGCTCTTGACCTTGGCTGAGTCTCGAGCAGTGGACTGTAGCTACCTGACAGCAGTAAGGTTCGGGGCGAGCTCAACCGGAAAGGCCGCTTCAGTTGCACTCCGACACTCCAGTTTGACATTTCGTCTTCGAACTATTCGACAATGGTCCCGCTAATGTTTACCCCTAGTGAGTGTGGTGTGTGCCTTCCCCACCCCTCCCCCCGGCCCCAGCAGTTTCGTTGTCATCTGTCTGAGACATGCTCGAGTCGTGCTGCTTTCCCCAAGCGCGGGGAGGAGCGGGGTGCCTGGCAGCTTACTTCAAAGACCGCCGCACGAAATTGCAAAAGAGGACCTCACCTGATCCCTAATTATGTCTGCCAAGCCCACGCGCTTGTCTTTAGACAAATCATCTAGCTGTTAGTAGGTATTCCTTTGAGTGACGTGCAGGACCTCCACAGCAGCACGCGCGATGAATACAAGAACGTAGTGTGTTGGTCTGGGGTCTGAAATGAGACGCAGGTGCCGGTGGTCCATGCAAATTTTGTAGGATTGTAGGATAAGGTTCACTCCCATGTTCCCTGCGTTTCCTTTCATGTGCTGTGCGAACAGGTGAGTCGCCCTGGCTGGATTTGGTACTGGAGAACAAGCGCAAGAACTCTCGGGCCACAGACCCATGGAGCGCCGTGAGAAAGAAGCATGCCTAGCGGAAACCAATCCCAGGGTCCCATACCCTGCACCCCAACCAACTCACAGTCTGACACAGACGGCGCGGCTAGGCGCAACATGCTGAAGCTTCCGAGCTTTCAGACGTGGCATGTCAAGAAAGCATCATTCAGCTATTCCGAATATTCCCTTCGTTCTCCCGGAATTGTGTTTTGCTTCGAACATCCCCACAGTGATAAATGCTTTGGAAATTCTCCGGGAGTGGGAGGCGGGATGTACGGGTTTGTCGTCGTTAACGTTTATAGGATTCTGCGCCTGCTGCCTGTGAAGAGCTCCGAAGTTCTCTGCAGCTTTCACTGTCGGTGAGGGGTAGGTGTAATAAGTAGCAACTGAAGGTCCCAAAGGCTCCTGAGCCATGTTCAACACGGGACGCTGCAGATTCGACCCCGGAATCCCAAGAGAGCAGACAGCCGTGACAGCCTGGACTCAAACTTGACTCTGGGTAGCTCCATGGTGATTCCTGGCCCTGGGCTTCCTGCGACCTTTGCAGCTGCGATCGGGGTTTTTCGCGAGACGCTCAGGCCTCGACATCTTGTTTCTATTTTTTTGCGCCGAGGATCTGGTAGTCGGTTGGGTGTCTGTGCTTGCCCTCTTAGCCTGGCAGTTGAGCGTCCCGTGCCTGGAGCGCCGTTCAACATGCAAATTCACTTGAGCAAAGCCCGGGCTTGTTACCAAACGGACCTGCTTGCATGACTTGCTTACATGTGTGAATGGTGTGTATGGAGTGCACGGTGCTCTGTCAGCATGGCATATCATGTCAATGCCAATCCACTGCATGCAGGCGTGTGCCACCGTGGCTTTTGTTGTCCGGCGTCCACGCCTCAGAATCGCAGAGATCGCAGAGCAGCAGCTGGTCATGTTGGCGTCAGCAATGGAGCCGCACAACTACTCTCCAAGGCGGCGGATCAGTTCGTGAAGCCTGTCACAAACAACTTTGCCTTCCCTGCTGTCACGCTTCCATCCCGCGTGACTGTAGAACAGGCCGGTACTGAGTGCTAGCACAGTAGGGATCACGCGGAAAATGACTCGTGACAGGACACTGTTGGGGGCGTTCCCGGGGAGTGGCACGTCCCGCAGGCTCCACCAACTTGAAGGGCTCCTTTGCCTTCCTTAATCACTCCCCTCACATCATAAAGCATCTTCTTGGAGGATGCAAACAGCCGAGTGGACAACCTCCTTCTTTGGGCCCATGGCGGCGGCTTCATGTTCCTCGGACCCGACCCAGTCTGCTTGTGTCGGTGCTCGTATTCGACACGCACTTTTGAGTGTGAAAATGAGTCGTCGAGGTTTTGCTCACCTGGAACGCATCGGCTGTTTCTGAGTCGAGTGCCTTGGCAATTGCAGATTGTCCCTTGAAGATGAGTCGCGTGGATGGCTTGGCAATGTGGAGTGGAAGGCATCTCTGTCAGGGCCAGGACGGACAATGAAGCCAGCCTCAAGAAAAAAGTGGCGACCCTGAGCCAGGTCGCAGAGCGATCGAATTGCATTGTCTTCTGCCCAAACTACCGGCTGCTTGTCCAAAGTTTCGCCCGTTTGTGTCCGACACGGCAACTTGGTGCCACATTTGCGGTGTGATGGAGGGCTTGCCAAGGAAGCCTCCACAGCATCCCTTTCCCGAGCCGCTTGCGGACGTGTGGAAGACCTATGAGGCAGGCCGTTGAATGGTGGTACTATTGTGGGCATTACGTCGCAGGCTGGTAACTGCCTGGCTGCGAGGTGCTTCGGAGCCGAAACGCCCAGCAAGACATCTATGTGGGAGGGGCTCCCCTCTTGCAAGCTCGCAAAAGTTCAAGCTACCCATGTAGTGCATGTTTTTCGTGCCTCTAGTCCAGGTGGTACTTGCACTCGAATGAAGCAATTAGAACACAGAACGTTTTGTTGTGGAGGGGTTTCCGGCCTTCGCCCTCAAAGCCCGGGAGACGAAGGAGAAGGAGAAGGAAGAAGGGAGAAGGAAAAGGAGAAGGAGTTTGATTCTATCAGGGATCATCACCTTGGCCCAACGGGCTGCGCCGGCATGCATAGAACTATCGGGAATGTGTTGATGCCACCATGCTCCCAAGTCTCAGTAGCGCATGCACGGATCGTCAGCACCAGCTTCGAATCGAACCAGCAGGATCCTTCAGCCTGAGAGCTCGAAAGCTCCAAAGCTTTGCAGCATCCCCATCCAAATGTGTCATAGTAAAGCCCACACCCAAACAGCTCCTGACCCCAAACTCCAGACACTAGATCCTAACCCTCATAACCTCCCCCTTTAACAGACAACAGATGACAACAGCCTCCGAGGACAGTGCGGGCGGCAATCTGGCCCTGGAACTAGCACGCCGGGCCTGCGCTGAGCAGGCAGACTCATTGCGGGTACGGTTCTAAGCTTTAGGGTCCAGGCTTTAGGGTTGCGGAGGGCCTACTGTTAGCGTTAGTGTAAGGGCCATCACTTGTGTGCACCTGCCAGCAGCTAGCACACGTCTGCTTGCTCAACCTTGCTTGCCCAATCTTGTTTGTCTTGGCACCGTTTTCAGAAGTAGGCCTCCGTGTGTCTGTGTTTGTTGTAGGGTGGTTCCTAAGTACTTGGCTTGCCGTCCGACTTGTGTGCGAAGCGATCGCTCATGATCGCTGTGTGCATGTGCACATGCCTTCCGATGTCTAAAAACCTCATGGCTTCGACACAGTTGTCGGACATGTGTGGCCAGTTTTGGAGACCCTCTGCATCAGGGAAAGCTATTTGTGGCCAGTGACAAACATGACTACAGTGCTGCGAGGCGGATGCTCAACAGTTGCAGCCCTTCTTGCGCACGTCATGCATCCAACTATCCCGCTTGTCATGTTTACAGTGGGTCAGCGTCATGTTCGACATGTGTCAGGACTCAAACTCAACCAACATAAGGGTCGAAATGCCAGAGAGCAGCTGGCCCTTCGACACTGCTTTGTTTGCACCGCACGCAGCCAACAGAGCTAAAGGTTAAAGAGAGCGAACTCCCGAACCAGCCACAACACGCCCATGATGCCCATGATCACAGCAAAGACGACCCTGCCTTCGCAACGCTGGTCAAAAAGCGTCACCACTGAACCAAGCCAGTCGAAAGGTGTCCACGCACCTGCAGAAGGTGGCAGGTAGGAGCCTCAGCCATCCTCCCGTAGCAGACCCGAAAGACTGACGACGCAGAAGTCAGGTGGCATCCCTGGTGATTGGTTCAGGCTTTCCACACATTCAAGTACTAAACATTTCCAGGCTATCTATGCTCAGTTGCTTCAGACCCCCACACTCCTCAGCAAGTACAGCAAGCACCTCATCCCAAGCCCTTTGCGGTGTTTTTGTGTTTCGGGTTTAGGGTTTTCGGGCAAGCGACAGATACATACCACAGGGTGCAGGGGTATTTGGGGTTACGGATGTTCGGGTAAGCAAGATGGCCTCCAACTCCCGGACGCTGAGGTGTGCTGTTGCTCAGCCCTTGGGTGGACCTTGCGGACAACACGTCCGACTCATGGCTCCTGGGCAGCGAAAAGTACCAAAAAACTACCTTCAGCTGTTGGATGCTGAAGTGGGGTTAACGACGACAGACGACGACGATGAGGAAGATGCTCTTACTGTTTGCATCAGCACGAGTGACAACCAAGGTTCAAGTATGAGGCACCGGGGGGGGGGGGTCCTCTGAGCAATAGCGCAAGAGCTTGCCTTTTCCCGCCGCGCGCTGCGTGAATTTGCGACTCCAGTACGTAGGCTTTTCTTGCGATCCGAGCCGCTGCTCAGAAGCGTCTCATGCATTTGGACAAACACAATTCGCTTCCAGGTGGCAGTGGTTGGCAGAGTAGTCTGTGCAATTTTGATGTTTGCGTCAGTTCTCGTCCATGCCATGCGTTCTTAAGCGGTAGGATCCGGGTTGATTTGCGTGCTTTCAAGAATCGGGGAAGTGTGGGCCCACAGCATCTTTCCTTAGTTGTTTAGATGGACCCATACGTGGTGAACTTACTGACAGCGGCCCTTATCTTTAGGAGCGTCCCGGCAGGAGGTGGACTTCCTCCCACGTGTACAGTCACGTGCCGTCGCGAAGCTCTATGCATCGACTTGGCCCCTAGAGGCGCTCAAAGCGTCGAAGTTTGTAGGGGGTATGCAGGGCATCGACAGGCTTGCACAGACTGTTCTGTAGATGCCTCGTCAAGACATCCTTCACTTCAGAATCCTCAAAGCTGCTGCACCCCTGACTTCATGGAGGATCCAGCCATCTCGCCTGCGCGGCATGAGACGTGGCCCTCTAGCTTTCCTCCCGTTTCTTGGCGTGCACCACTCAAAAAAGTTTGCCATCTTTTCATAAGCACCTTGATGGACTCTCCGCGAGTTTGCAACGGGCAGTTTGTTGTCTACCCTGCAATTTGCGTTGGTCCTCGGACGCTGTTTCTCTTGGGAAAAGTGATATAAACTTGTCTTGCGCAATCGCTCGCCATGCTTGACAAGGGCTGTGTTTTTTTGGGATGGCTTGGTGCCTCGCAAATGCATCTCCGGGCCCAGCTCATCCAGAATTGCATTTCAACTGGGCGTGGCAGGCTTGAGGCTGGTAAGAGAGTGAGGGTACCGGGCTGATCCAGGAAGAAGATCTGCCTTAACTTTGCCTTATAGGAGCATGCACAGTAGTTTCCCGAGCTTAGAGTATCTTAAGGTGGCCTCGCTTCACACCAGGTTCACCTCGAATACGGCGGCGCCGAAGTTTTTCGCGATCAAATTGAGAGGTTGATCAAGACCCTGGCAGAGAATCGGGTAGCAGCTCGGCTGCGACAGGCTAATGTGGGAAAACTGTCTCATGGCAAAGGTTCAGAGGGACAACTTGCAGTGCGGCGTGGGCATGAACTGCTTGACGAGCTTGCTGCCTGCAGATCTGTCCACACGGGGATTGAAGAAGTAAACGAACTCATCAACTTGCCAAATAGATGGCTCGGTGTAGTCTGCGACGTTTTTGTGGCTTGCAGTTAAACATACAGCATTTGCTGAGGAAGTGAGCCTGCACCTGGAGGAGGGTCAAGTGCACGTATATCCAATCCTCGACTTCTTTGCGCCGCAGGCTGATATGTCAGAAGGATTTCTGTCAAGGACAGCGACCTTCTTGAACAGGAGGACGTTCGAGAAGCGAGCAAAATCATTTGCTTAAGGACCCATCCCTTCTGTAGTCGTGCGTGACATGCGTCGTCAATTGCACGTGTGGCGGAAGCGTTCGTGCCATGCGTCACGGACGCAAAGAGCGCGAAATGCGCATTCGCGCAACAATGTTCCTGATGAATGATTTAGCCATATTTGATCTTTGCATAAGAACCCTCTTTCTGTAGTCGTGCGTTAGTGTGTCGGAAGCAATTTTGGAGTTGTTGCGCTCGGCGGGGATTCCATATGAATTCATGAAATACAGAATTTCCTGATGTTTGATTTCGTCTTCTTTGTCTCTGCATAAGCACCCATCATTTGTATTTGGCGCGCAATGATATCCAACATGTACGAGATCTCATTTTCGACTTTGATGCGCGACGAGCTGGCTTTTTTCATGTGTCTCTTTGCAAGTTTGGGTTGCGCTTGCTGGGGTTGTTCTATAAGGAATCGCAACATTTTCTTCGTATGACAGTAAGGCCGCGGTTTGTGTAGGTTCGTTTCGGTTTCCGGTACATACTCGGGTTGGTTCCGGTTCATGCGGTTCGCTGCGGCTTGCGGTTCGGTTCGGTTCGGTTCGGTTCCATTCGGGTGCCAAGGGTGCCAAACCCCCCCCCCCCCCCCCGGCAAGCAAACAACCTCACCCCCACCTCCATCCAACCCCATCGGGTGTGTACCGGCGAACAACGAAAAACTACCGGCGGACAACGAAAGATGTCTCACAACAACGAAAGATAACAACGTAAACGACCCACCAGCATCGATCCAGGTCCGGCGGCAACCATCCCCTTCCGGCGAGCAACGAAAAACCCTTCTGCCGAGCATCGAAAACCTGCCGCCCAGCATCGGAAAACCCTCCGCCGAGCATCGACACACCTTTTGGCCAAGCGTCTCAAACTCTGGAACCTTTGTAGGAAGACCATCGACACTATTCTAAGCCGTGCAAGCTTGCTTCAAAGCATATTTAAGCCGTGCAAGCTTGCTTCAAATCAGATGAATCTTTTTTTTTGCAAATAGGGGGCGCTGCCACCCCCCCCAACCCCACCACTTTTTGCAGCTGTGCAAGTTTGCTCCAAAGCATATGAAGCTTTTTTAACCCATCATGCGATCATTGTGTTTGCAATTGGGGGGGGGGGGGCTGCGCTCCCCCCAACCCCCAGCTTTTTTAAGCCGCGCAAGCTTGCTTCAAACCATATGATAAACCATCATGCGATCATTATGTTTGCAAATAGGGGGGGCTGCGCCCCCCCCAACCCCCCCGCTTTTTCAAGCCGTGCAAGCTTGCTTCAAATCAGATGAGTCTTTTTCCAACCCATCATGCGATCATCGTGTTTGCAGATGGCGCCCCCGCCTTTTTTTAAGCCGTGCAAGCTTGCTTGCAGAAAAGTATGAACCTGTTTAAAACCCATCATGCGATCATTGTGTTTGCAAAAGGGGGCTTGTTTTGAGCAGTGCAAGCTTGCTTCAAAGCATATGAGTCTTTTTAGCCCCCCCCTCGCTTTTTTATTAGAACCGAAATTGAACCTCAAGTCTATAAACCCTAACCCCCTAAACTCGAACCCTCAACCCCAGAGCCTAAAACCCTCAACTCTAAAAACCCTCGACGCTAACCCCAAAGCCCTTCGGACACACCAAAGACCGCCCCTATACTCCCTGGTTTAGGGTTTAGGGTTGAGGGTCGCGCCCCCCCCCCCCCCCCACCCGGGATGCCAATCCAAAAAAGACTTTTTTCCAATCAAAAAAAATTTTTTCCCATCAAAAAAAATGTTTCCAATCAAAAAACAACTTTCCTTTTCAGATAGGAGGACAAGAGGGAAGGGAGGAGGAAGGGAGGGACGGAAGGCAGGAAGGAAGGAAGGAAGGAAGGAGGGAGGGCAAGAAGGAAGGAAGGAAGGAAGGCAGGAAGGCAGGAAGGGGAAGGAGGGAAGGAAGGAAGGAAGCAATCTGAGGCCTAAAGTTGCTAAGTTTCTTGAAGCTCCTAAACTTCATTGAAGTCTCTAGGCGTTTTGAGGCCCCTAAACGTCCTTGAAGTCTCTAATAAGCCCCTAAACTCACGTAAACTTCTAAGTTCCCTGAGGCCCCTACTCTCTATATAAGCGTTTTGAGGCCCCTAAACTCCCTTAAAGTCTCGAAGCGTTTTGACGCCCCTGAACCCTCTTAAAGTTTCTCAGTTTCTTGAGGCCCCTAAACTCCCTTAACGTCTCTGAGCAATTTGAGGCCCCTAAACTCACCTAAACTCCCGTAAAGTTTCCTGGTTTTTCGAACGAAAAGCCGTAATTCCCTCTGTATTTTCATAGGAAAGCGTTATTTCTTGTAGGTTTTAGAAGGAAAGAAGGAAAGAAAGACAGGAAGAAAGGAAGGAAGGAAGGAAGAAGGACCAAAGGAAGGAAGGCAGGAAGGAAGGAAGGAGGGAAGGAAGAAAAGAAGGAAGGAAGGAAGGAAGGAAGGAAGGAAGAAACGCCCTAAACCCTAAACCCCAAACCCCAAACCCCAAACCCCAAACCCTAAACCCTAAACCCTAAACCCTAAACCCTAAACCCTAACCCCAAAACCCTAAACCCTAAACCCTAAACCCTAAACCCTAAACCCTAAACCCTAAACCCTAAACCCTAAACCCTAAACCCTAACCAGGCGTGCTTCAAAGCCCAAGAAACTAGTTGAAAAAACATTGTGTTTGCAAGTGGGGGGGGGGGGCTGCGCCCCCCCAAACCCCCCCGCCTTTTTTTTTGAGCCGTGCAGAGCGTGACCCCCCCACGCTTCTTTTAAGCCGCACCAAGCGTGCTTCAAAGCCCAAGAAACTAGTTGAAAAACATCGTGTGAGCATTGTGTTTGCAAATGGGGGGGGCTGCGCCCCCCCCAACCCCCCCGCGTTTTTTAAGCCGTGCAGAGCGTGCTTTGCTTCAAAGCCCAAGAAACTAGTTGAAAAACATCGTGTGAGCATTGTGTTTGCAAATGGGGGGGCTGCCCCGCCCCCCCAACCCCCCCGCTTGTTTTAAGCCGTGCAGAAAGGAGTGTCTGTTTTGCCACCCAAGACATATATATACACACATGCGCACTAAAATATGCATATCTTTGCGTCGAATGCGGTAAGTTTTTTTGATGGAGAGAAAGTTTTTTTGATGGGTCAGGTATCGTCTCTTGTACATGGGGTCAAGCATGTCCCAACGTCAAAACCTGAACTTTCTGAGAGCCTCTCTGCCAGGGCGGGAGCCAGGGGTCCCGTCCCGTCCCGTCCCGTTTTGTTCCGTCCCGTCCCGTCCCGCTTCCCGTTTTGTTCCGGCCGGCCCGGCCCGGCCCTGCCCGGCCGACCCTCCCGTCCCCGTCCCCCGTCGTCCCCGTCGTCCCCGTCGTTTCCGTCGTCCCCGTCGTCCCCATCGTCCCCATCGTCCCCGTGGTGCCCCCGTCCTCCCCCCCTCCTCCCGGCGTCCTCCCCCCGTCCTCCCCCCGTCCTCCCCCCGTCCTCCCCCCGTCCTCCCCCCGTCCTCCCCCCGTCCTCCCCCCGTCCTCCTTCCGTCCTCCCCCCGTCTCCCCCGTCCTCCCCCCGTCCTCCCCCCGTCCTCCTCCCGTCCTCCCCCGTGCTCCCCCCGTCCTCCCCCCGTCCTCGCCCCATCCTCCCCCCGTCCTGCCCCCGTCCTGCCCCCGTCCTGCCCCCGTCCTGCCCCCGTCCTGCCCCCGTCCGTCCCCGTCCGTCCCCGTCCGTCCCCGTCCGTCCCCGTCCGTCCCCGTCCGTCCCCGTCCGTCCCGTCCCGTCCCGTCCCGTCCCGTCCCGTCCCGTCCCGTCCCGTCCCGTCCCGTCCCGTCCCGTCCCGTCCCGTCCCGTCCCGTCCCGTCCCGTCCCGTCCCGTCCCGTCCCGTCCCGTCCCGTCCCCTCCCGTCCCGTCCCGTCCCCTCCCGTCCCGCCCGTCCCGTCCCGTCCCGCCCGTCCCGTCCCGTCCCGTCCCCGTCCCGTCC